CTGTGGCTTGAGTAGGCTGTTTTCCCCTCACAGTGTAAACAAAGCCACCAGGAGGTTTGGACAGGGCAGAGCCCACTGCAGCCTGGCAAAGCCCCTATAGCAGACTGCCTCTCTAGATTCCTCCTCTCTGGGCAGGGAATCTCCGAAAGAAAGGCAGCAGCCCCACTCAGGGGCTTATAGATAAAATTCCCATCTCCCTGGGACAGAGCACCTGGGGGAAAAGGAACTGTGGATGCAGCTTCAGCAGACTTAAACGTTCCTGCCTGCCAGCTCTGAAGAGAACTGCATATCTCCAAGCACAGCACTCGAGCTCTGCTAAGGGACAGACTGCCTCCTCAAGTGGGTCCCTAACCCTCATGCCTCCTGACTGGGAGACACCTTCCAGCAGCAGTTGACAGACACCTCATACAGGAGAGCTCCAGCTGGCATCTGGCAGGTGCCCCTCTGGGACAAAACTTCCCAAGGAAGGAACAGGCAGCAATCTTTGCTGTTCTGCAGACTCCACTGGTGATACCCAGGTACATAGGATCTGGAGTGGACTTCCAGTAAACTCCAGCAGACCTGCAGCAGAGGGGCCTGACTGTTAGAAGGAAAACTAACAAACAGGAATAGCATCAACATCAACAAAAAGGACGTCTACACAAAACCCCATTTGAAGGTCACTTCCATCAAAGACCAAAAGAAGATAAATCCATGAAGATGAGGAAAAATCAGTGCAAAAAGTTTGAAAATTCCAAAAACCAGAATGCCTCTTCTCCTCCAGAGGATCACAACTCCTCGCCAGCAAGGGAACAAAACTGGACGGAGAATTAGTTTGATGAATTGACAGAGTAGGCTTCAAAAAGTGGGTAATAACAAACTCCTCCAAGCTAAAGGAGCATGTTCTAACCCAATGCAAGGAAGTTTAAAAACCTTGACAAAAGGGTTAGAGGAATTGCTAACTAAAATAATCAGTTTAGAGAAGAACATACATGAGCTGATGGGGCTGAAAAACACAGCATGAGAACTTTGTGAAGCATACACAAGTATCAATAGCCAAAGCAATCAAGATCGAAGATCAACTAAATAAAATAAAGTGTGAAGACAAGATTAGAGAAAAAAGAATAAAAAAGGAACAAACAAAGCCTCCAACAAATATGGGACTATGTGAAAAGACCAAACCTATGTTTGATTGGTGTACCTAAAAGTGATGGGGAGAATGGAACCAAGTTAGAAAACTCCACTCTTCAGGATGTTATCCAGGAGAACTTCCCCAACCTAGCAAGGCAGGCCAACATTCAAATTCAGGAAATGCAGAGAACATCACAAAGATAATCCTCGAGAAGAGCAACCCCAAGACACATAATCATCAGATTCACCAAGATTGAAAGGAAGGAAAAAATTTTAAGAGTAGCCAGAGAGAAAGGTCGGATTACCCACAAAGGGAAGCCCATCAGACTAATAGCAGATCTTGCTGCAGAAACTCTGCAAGCCAAAAGACAGTGGGAGCCAATATTCGACATTCTTAAATAAAAGAATTTTCAATTCAGATTTCTTATACTGCCAAACTAAGCTTCATAAGTGAAGGAGAAATAAAATCCCTTACAGACAAGCAAATGCTGAAAGATTTTGTCACCATCAGGCCTGCCTTACAAGAGCTCCTGAAGGAAGCACTAAATATGGAAAGAAAAAACTGGTACCAGCCACTGCAAAAACGTCAACTAATGGCCAAAATAACCAGCCAGCATCATAATGGCAGGATCAAATTCACATATAACAACATTAACCTTAAATGTAAAGGGGCTAAATGTCCCAATTAAAAGACACAGACTGGCAAATTGGATAAAGAGCCAAGACCTATCACGTGCTGTATTCAGGAGACCCATCTCATGTGCAAAGACACAAATAGACTCAAAACAAAAGGATGGAGGAATATTTACCAAGCAAATGGAAAGCAAAAAAAGAAGCAGGGGTTGCAATCTTAGTCTATTATAAAACAAACTTTAAACCAACGAGATTTAAAAAGACAAAGAGGGGTATTACATAATGGTAAAGTGATCAATGCAGCAAGAAGCACTAACTATCCTAAATATTTATGCACCCAATACAGGAGCACCAGATTCATAAAGCAAGTTCCTAGAGACCTACAAAGAGACTTAGACACCCATACAATAATAGTGGGAGACTTTAACACCCCCCTGTCAATATTAAACAGATCAACGAGACAGAAAATTAACATGGATATTCAGGACTTGAACTCAGCTCTAGACCAAGTGGACCTAATAGACACCTATAGAACTTTCCACCCCAAATCAACTGGATATACATTTTTCTCAGCACCACATCACACTTATTCTAAACTTGACCACATAATTAGAAGTAAAATTCCTCAGCATATGTCAAGGAACAGAAATTATAACAAACTGTCTCTCAGACCATGGTGTAATCAAATTAGTCCTCAGGATTATGAAACACACTCAAAACTGCACAACTACGTGGAAACTGAACAACCCGCTTATGAATGACTACTGGGTAAATAACAAAATTAAAGCAGAAATAAATAAGTTCTTTGAAACCAATGAGAATAAAGACACAGCATACCAGAATCTCTGGGACACAGCAAAAGCAGTGTTTAGAGGGAAATTTATAGCACTAAATGCCCACAGGAGAAAGTGGGAAAGATCTAAATCAACACCCTAACATCACAATTAAAAGAACTAGAGAAGCAAGAGCAAACAAATTCAGAAGCTAGCAGAAGACAAGAAATGACTAAAATCAGAACAGAAATGAAGGCAATAGAGATACGAAAAAAAACCTTCAAAACCTCAATGAATCTTGGAGCTGGTTTTTTGAAAAGATTAACAAAATAGATAGACTGCTAGACAGACAAAGAAGAAAAGAGAGAAAAATCAAAAAGACAAAATAAAAAATGATAAAGGGGATATCACCATTGATCCCATAGAAATACAAACTAGCATCAGAGAATACTATAAATACCTCTAGGCAAATAAACTAGAAAATCTAGAAGAAATGGATAAATTCCTGGAGCCACACACCCTCCCAAGACTAAACCAGGAAGAATTTGAATCCTTGACTAGAACAATAACAAATTCTGAAATACAGGCAGTAATTAAAGGCCTACCAACCACACACACACACACACACACACACACACAGCCCAGGACCAGATGGATTCACAGCCAAATTCTACCAGAGGTACAAAGAGGAGCTGGTACCATTCCTTCTGAAACTATACCAAACAATAGAAAAAGAGAGACTCCTCCCTAACTCTTTTTATGAGGTCAGCATTATCCTGATACCAAAATCTGGCAGACACACAACAAAAAAGGAAAATTTCAGGCCAATTATCCCTTTTGAAGATTGATGCAAAAAACCTCAATAAAATACTGGCAAACTGAATCCAGCAGCACATCAAAAAGCTTAACCACTACAATCAAGTCAGCCTTCATCCCTGGGATGCAAGCCTGGTTCAACAGATGCAAATCAATAAATGTAATTCATCACATAAACAGAACCAATGACAAAAAGCCCACATGATTCTCTTAACAGATACAGAGAAGGCCTTTGAGAAAACTCAATACCCCTTCATGCTAAAAACTCTCAAACTAGATATTGATGGAACGTAGCTCAAAATAATATGAGCAATTTTGACAAACCCACAGCCAATATCATACTAAATAGGCAAAAGCCAGAAGCATTCCCTTTGAAAACTGGCGTAAGACAAGGATACCCTCTCTCACCACTCCTATTCAACATAGTATTGAAATTTCTGGCCAGGGCAATTAGGAAGAGAAAGAAATAAAGGGTATTCAAATAGGAAGACAGGAAGTCAAATTGTCTCTGTTTGCAGATGACATGATTGTATATTTTAAAAACCCCATAGTCTCAGCCCAAAATCTCCTTAAGCTGATAAACAACTTCACCAAATCTCAGGATACAAAAGCAATGTGCAAAAACCACAAGCATTCCTATACACCAGTAACAGACAGAGAGCCAAATCATGAGTGAACTCCCATCCACAATTGCTACAAAGAGAGTAAAAACCTAGGAACACAAGTTACAAGGGATGCGAGAACCTCTTCAAGGAGAACTACAAACCACTGCTCAAGGAAATAAGAGAGGATGCAAACAAATGACAAAAAAGATTCCGTGCTTATTGATAGGAAGTATCAATATCATGAAAATTACCATACTGCCCAAAGTAATTTATAGATTCAATGCTATCCCCATCAAGATACCATTGATTTTCTTCACAGAATTAGAAAAAACTACTTTAAATTTCATATGGAACCAAAAAAGAGCCCAAGACAATCCTAAGCAAAAAGAACAATGCTTAAGGCATCATGCTACCTGACTTCAAACTATACTACAAGGCTATAGTAATAAAAACAGCACAGTACTGGTACCAAAACAGAGATATAGATCAATGGAACAGAACAGAAGCCTCAGAAATAGCACCACAAATCTACAACCATCTGATCTTTGACAAACCTGACAAAAACAAGCAATGGGGAAAGGATTCCCTATTTAATAAATGGTGTTGGGATAACTGGCTAGCCATATGCAGAAAACTGAAACTGGACCCCTTCCTTACATCTTATACAAAAATTAACTCAAGATGGATTCAAGGCTTAAATTCAAGGCTTAAACTGAAAACCATGAAAACCCTAGAAGAAAGCCTAGGCAATATCATTCACAACATAGGCACTGGCAAAGACTTCATGACTAAAATACCGAAAGCAATAGTAACAAAAGCCAAAATTGACAAATGGGATCTAATTAAACTAAAGAGCTTCTGCACAGCAAAAGAAACTATCATCAGAGTGAACAGACAACCTACAGAATGGGAAAAAATTTTTGCAACCTATCCATCTGACAAAGGGCTAGTATCCAGAATCTACAAAGAACTAAAATAGATTTACAAGAAAAAAACAAACAAGTCCATTCAAAAGTGGGCGAAGGACATGAACAGACACTTCTCAAAAGAAGACATTTATGCGGCCAACAAACATAAAAAAAAGCTCATCATCACTGGTCATTAGAGAAATGCAAATCAAAACCACATTGAGATACCATCTCACGCCAGTTAAAATGGCAATCATTAAAAAATCTGGAGACGACAGATGCTAGAGAGGATATGGAGAAATAGGAACACTTTTACACTTCTGGTGGGAGTGTAAATTAGTTCAACCATTGTGGAAGACAGTGTGGTGATTCCTCAAGGATCTAAAAATAGAAATTCCATTACTGGGTATATACCCAAAGGACTATAAATCATTCTGTTATAAAGACATATGCACACACATGTTCATCATGGCACTGTTTACAATAGCAAAGGCCTGGAATCAACCCAAATGCCCATCAATGATAGACTGGATAAAGGAAATGTGGCACATACATATACCTTGGAATACTATACAGCCATAAAAAATGATGAGTTTGTGTCCTTTGTAGGGACATGGATGAACCTGAAAACCATCATTCTCAGCAAACTGGCACAAGAACAGAAAATCAAACACACATGTTCTCACTCATAGGTGGGTATTGAACAATGAGAACACATGGACACAGAGAGGGGAGCATCACACACTGGGGTCCATTGTTGGGGGTTGGGGAGGGATAGTGGAAGGGAGGGTGGGGAGGGATAACGTGGGGAGAAATGTCAGGTATAGGTGATGGGGGGATGGTGGTAGTAAACCATCTTGCCATGAATGTACCTATGCAACAATCTTGCATGATCTGCACATGTACCCCAGAATCTAAAGTACAATTAAAAAAAAGAAAATGTGGCACATATACACCATAGAATACTATGCAGCCATAAAAAAGGATGAGTTCATGTCTTTTGCAGGGACATGGATGAAGCTGGAAGCCGTCATTCTTAGGAAACTAACACAAGTACAGAAAACCAAACACCACATGTTCTCACTCATAAGTGGGAGTTGAACAATGAGAACACATGGACACAGGGAGGGGAACATCACACACTGGGGCCTGTTGAGGGGTGGGGGTTAGGGCAGGAATACATTAAGAGAAATACCTAATGTAGATGACGGGTTGATGGGTGCAGCAAACCATCATGGTGTGCGTATACCTATGTAACAAACCTGCACATTCTGCACATGTATCCCAGAACTTATATATTTAAAAAAAAAAAAAAGTTGACTGTTCAGCAACAAAAAACAGTAATCACTATTGTAATTTTGTATTTATTTGTGTGATTACTGTGTTATTCAGTTACAATTGCATAGAGTAAAATGCATAGATCTTAAGCACATAGTTTGAGCTATTTTGACAAAAGACCAATTTTGATAAATGTAATATACATATCACACCAGAAAGTTCCTTCCTGTTCCCACCTAGTCAAGACCTCCTTGACCCAAAGCAACCATTGTCTTGATTTCTAACACTATAATTAATTATGTTGGTTGTGGAATTTCACATAAGTGGAATCATATAGTTTGTGCTCTTTGGTGTCTGGCTTCTTTCATCAGCATGTTTCTGAGACTCATCCTCATTACAGGTATTAGCAGTTTATTTCTTTTTATTAAACTGCTCAGTAACATCCCATTATATTAACATGCCAGTTTATCCATTCTCCTATTGAGGATCTATGTTGTTAACAATTTTGGGCTATTATGAACAAAGTTACTATGAATATTCTTGTATAATAATTTTTCAGACATATATTTTCATTTCTCTTTGGTAAATACTTAGGAATTGCTCAGTCAAAGGATAGCTGTATATATAACATTTTAGGAAAATGCTACTTTTCAAAACTGATGGGATCATTTTAAACCCCCACCAACAATATATGGGGGTTCCAGTTGATCCAGGTCCTTGCCAACATTTGACATTGTAGGGATTTTTTTTTTTTAATTTAGATTCCAGTAGATGTGCAGTGGTAACTCATTTGAGTTTTAATTTGGAATTTTCCTGATGACTACTGATGTTGAGCACATTATTATGTTCTTCTTTATCATTTATAAATATTTTATGAACTATCTACTAACTACTCAAGTATTTTGGTCATTTGTATTGAGTTTGTTTTCTTTTAATTGCTAAATAAAAATTCACTAATTAAAGGAAAACAAACTCAATACAAATTAAGCATTTTTTTCTTACATATTCTTAATACAAACTATTTGTTGGATGTAGGTATTGTAAAAATTTTCTCTTAGCTCCCAGCTGTCTTTTCATTTTCTTAATGGTATCTTTTGATGAGCAAAAGGTTTTAAGTTCAATTTGTCAATTTCTTTCTTTTTTTTCATTCTTCTGTGTCCTGTCTAAGGAATCTTTGCCTAATCTTAGGTTGTGACTATATTTCCCTGTGTTTTCTTCTAAAAGCCAAATATAAAAGCTAAAAGTTTTTAATAATCTATTATCCATTTTAAATGCATATTTGTATATGACATGAGGTAGCCATGAAGGTTTGTTTTTCCACCCAGTATAAATATCCATTTGTTCTAGCACTATTTTTTGAAAAGGCTTTCAATTCCCAATTGAATTGCCATAACAGTCTTGTCAACCATATATGTATGTATCTATCTATTTCTGGACTCCTTAATCTTTCTACAATGCCACACTGTTGTGATTACCATAACTTTATAGTTAGTTTTTAAGTCAGAGAAAGTCCTCTAACCTTGTTTTATTAAATGTTAAATATTGTTTTAGAAATTCTATGTCATTTGCATTTCCATGTACATTTTAGTATCAGCTTATTTATTTCCTGAAAAAAAGTCAGCTAGGATTTTGATTAGGATAGGTAGAATTTACAGATCAACTTAGGGAAAATTGATGTCTTAACAATACTGAGCCTTCCAATGCAGAACATGGCATCTCTTTATATTTAGTTCTTTCATTTCTATCATCAATGTTTTATAATTTTCAATGGAAAGACATTGATATCTTTAAAAAACTTACCCCAAAATTTTGTAGTTTTGATTGCTATTTTAAATGATATTTTTATTTTGCTTTCCAATCATTTCTTGCTGATAGTATTAAATTATGTTTCTTATGTTAACTTTGTGGTAGATGACATTGGTACATTTGCTTACTAGATCTAATAGAGTTTTGGCAGATCCTTTACAGTTTTCTACATAGAAAATGATGTCACCTATAGTGACAGTTTTATTTCTTCCTTCCTAGTTTTTATGATTTTGTTTCATTTTCCTGTCTTTTTGCACTGGCTAGGACTTTAATGATGCAAGCAGACATCCCTTACCTCGTCTCCAACTTAAGAAGAGGAGTGCTCAATATTTCAGCAATGAGTCATGATTATTGTAGACTCTTTAACAGGTTGAGGGAAGCTTCTTCTATCCCTAGTTGTGTGGATTTTAAAAATCATGAATGTGTCTAAATTTTTGGCAAATATCTTGTCTTCATCTAGTAAAATGATCACATTCTATTTTTCTTTTAATCTGTTAATATCATAAATTTCATTAAATGATTTTCATTTGTTGAATGAATCTTGCATTCCTGGGATAAACTCCAGCCACTCATATCCTTTTTAATATGCTGGTATGTAATTTTCTTATCTTGTAATGTCCTTGTTTGGATGCAGTTTTTCATTTATTTTTCTATCTATTTGATTAAAAGGTATTTGTAAGCTTCATGAGGCCTGCAATTACATCTCTTGTGCTCGCCTTTTTTTCTCTCACATGACTAAGAATGTAATAATAGGTTGTTGAAGGAATTACTAGATGAAAGAATATATGAGCAAATTATTTCTGGTCATAATATGTGAAAGTGCCTTATAAGCATTAAAGCATAAAGTATACCCAAGAATGGGTTTATTAGTAGTAGAAGAATTAGGACTACCTTGGTGCTTTTTATAGGGTTCAGAGTATGAGGCAAAGTAATCAATTTTACTGTAGAAAATGAATTCAGAATCAGGCTAATTTCCCTGGCTGAACTCAATGAAGACCACATTATATTATATCCTCTACCTAAGGGCTCTTTTAACGTTCTGTCAGTTCTCTGGAGCCAAGAGAAGTTCAGGACTTTAATATTTACTCGTACAAATGTTCATGACTCTTTCTTCTCACAGTGAAAAAAAAAATGCTGCTGATCCAATTCTGTGCCTAATTGTACATAACCATGTATGTATATGGATGTGAAAAAATCTTTTTCATGTTCAGGGATGTTACAAGCATAACACAATGTTCATACTTGTATAATGTATAACACTATGCAAATGTTTGATACCTGAAAATGTGTTGCAGCTTCAACATATAAATAGATAACTGCAACAGAGAAATAATAACATATAAGTGTCTATAAAATGCTACATTACTTCAATTTCACTAATAGTTAAAGTGTCTGTAAAATGCTACATTACTTCAATTTCACTAATAGTTAAACTTGGCATGTGAAATTTTTGTTACATTTAAAAATAATTTACAGGTTTAGTTTGATTTTCTGTTTTCACCTTGGAAGAATTCCTGGGTATATATGATTCTCTAAGAGATCTGAAGCAACCTTAAACTAAATGAGCCAACTAATTAAAAAAGCTTTAAAAGGTATAACAATCCTTATAAGATGTACACAGATCAACAAGTATATTGGATATGGGTTCTAGCTGCTGGCCCAAGTGTTGGTGTGAGGTAGGGCTCAGAAGTCAGAGTACTTCCCTTGAGCCTCCAAAGAAAGGTCTTCAAAGGGCTGTTTTTTGTTGGGAAGGACTAGCTTGCAGCATCCCTCAGCTTATTTCCAGGCACAGATTATGGCCCTGACTTTTGTTTATAATGATTAAGTCTTTGGTTATGTTTTTTTTTTTTTTTTTTTTTTTTTTTTT